AATTATCATTCTCCTGGTATGTGCCGCTCTTGCTCTTGGGTTTGGGATCAAGGAACATGGCGGCAAAGAGGGATGGTATGAAGGGGGTAGCATTTTTGTTGCGGTCTTCCTGGTGGTGGTCGTCTCTGCTTTCAGTAATTTCAGACAGGAAATTCAGTTTCACAAGTTATCGAAGATAAGTGACAACATCGAAGTGGATGTTGTCAGAGACAGTCGCCGGCGACCCATTTCCATATTCGATCTCGTTGTTGGTGATGTTGTGTATTTGAAGATCGGAGATCAAATTCCAGCTGATGGGTTGTTCTTGACCGGCCATTCTCTGCAGGTGGACGAGTCAAGCATGACAGGGGAAAGTGATCATGTCGAAGTAGACTCTGTTCGCAACCCGTTCTTGTTATCCGGATCGAAGGTGGGTGATGGGTATGCCCAAATGCTGGTGGTGTCTGTCGGAATGAACACAGCCTGGGGTGAAATGATGAGCTCGATCACCCGTGATACCAATGAAAGAACGCCGCTACAAGCTCGGCTGGACAAACTCACTTCCTACATAGGAAAGGTAGGTCTCTCTGTTGCTTTGCTGGTTCTTGTAGTAATGTTCATTCGTTATTTTACCCGCAAAACATCGGTGGATAGTGGATTTAAGAAATATGAGGGTAGCAAAACAAGTGTAGACGACATCTTAAATGCGGTGGTGAAGATAATTGCTGCTGCAGTAACCATTGTGGTGGTAGCGATCCCGGAGGGTCTGCCGTTGGCCGTTACCCTCACCCTTGCTTATTCCATGAAGAGGATGATGGGTGATCAAGCAATGGTTAGGAAGCTTTCTGCTTGTGAAACAATGGGATCTGCTACGGTTATCTGTACGGACAAAACAGGGACCTTGACGTTGAATCAGATGAAGGTCACCAAATTCTGGCTTGGCCAGGAATGCATTGCTGAAGATTCTTTCAAAACAAATGAATCGAGAGTTCGGGAATTGTTCCATCAGGGAGTTGGTCTGAACACGATAGGAAGTGTTTCAAACTCCGTATCTGGGTCTAAACCTGAGATTTCTGGGAGTCCTACTGAAAAAGCAATTCTGTCTTGGGCTGTGTCAGATTTTGGTATGGATATGGAGAAATTGAAGCAGAATTACAACATTCTCCATGTGGAAACCTTTAATTCAGAGAAAAAACGAAGTGGGGTTTTGGTTAAGGAAAACGCTGATAACACCATTCATGTCCATTGGAAAGGTGCTGCAGAGATGATACTAGCTATGTGTTCAAATTATTACAAGAGTAATGGAGAAATAAGACTGATGGAAGAAGATGCAAGGAGCACAATGGAGAAGATAATTGAGGGCATGGCAGCTAGTAGCCTTAGATGCATTGCTTTTGCTCACAAGCAAGCTCTAGAAGAAGAAAGAGAAGGCAATGATGACCAAGGAAACTGTGGCAGAAGGATTAAAGATGAAGGATTAACCCTCCTAGGGATAGTTGGCCTTAAGGATCCATGTCGGCCAGACGTCAAAAAGGCAGTGAAGGATTGTAAATCAGCAGGGGTGAAAATAAAAATGATCACCGGAGATAATGTTTTCACTGCAAAAGCTATAGCCACAGAATGTGGAATTTTAGGAGCGGATTATAAGGGAGAAGAAGTTGTAGAAGGGGTTGAATTCCGAAACTACACACCTGAGCAGAGAAAGGAGAAGGTCGATAAGATCAAGGTGATGGCGAGGTCGTCTCCCTTCGACAAGCTTTTGATGGTACAATGCTTGAAACAGAAGGGTCATGTGGTTGCAGTCACGGGTGATGGCACCAATGATGCTCCTGCTCTGAAAGAAGCTGATATAGGTCTTTCTATGGGCATTCAGGGTACTGAAGTAGCCAAGGAGAGCTCTGATATTGTTATATTGGACGATAACTTCGAGACTGTTGTCACGGTTTTGAAATGGGGAAGATGCGTTTATAA